GTGGGACAATGTACGGGAAGCACTTTGCTCAGTGCCTGCCTATAGTGTGTTTAGACACATGGTAGCTGCTATTATTATTATTTTATGCAAGGAGCAGAGTCATTCAAAATGGCCAGCTGAAGAAGGGGCACCCACCCAGGCTCTGCTCCTTGTGGGACCGAGTCCTTCGCTGGCAAGGAAATCCCAGGGTTTCCAGGTCTTGAGTGGTGGGCAACTGGCTTTCTCAGAGATCCCCTGTAGACAGCTACTGCTAAACCCAGCCTGCCTGACACCAGCAGCTGTATATGCAGCCCACATGTTTTGGCTGCTGACAAGGCCACTTCATACACTTGTGAAGGAAGACCCATATGAAGAGAGGCTCAGGGCACTGGGCCAGGGGTTGCTGCCCGGGAATAGAGCCCTCACCACTCCAGCAGGTGTCCTGGCCCCGCATGTCCCTCTGCCTGATGATGGGAGCCTGGGGCAGCAATGCACCCTGTGCTGCTGACTCCAGCCTGTGAGTTTCCTTATGGACCCCTTCTTGTATCCCATACCTTGTGGTGCTGCAGATTCCCACCACCCCTCTGCATGGCTGCTGCCAGCCCATAGGATGTGGGTGGCGAGGGGGAACCCAGTCCTGGAATACAGACTGCATTCCTCCTGGGCTAATTCTAAGCTATCTTGGGGGAGTGCTGAGGGCTTCCTGTGGGAAGCCGGCTGCCTCAGGTGGGGTGGAAGGGGACCCTGCCCTGTGCACTTTCCTCCCTGCACCTCCTTTAAGACCCTGGGAATCTAGTCATGACTCAGGTGCCAGCTCTCTCCCTTCGTCACTGGGCAAAACCAAACAATCTTTCCTGAAGAGGCCAATTACGGTATAAATTTTGTAATCTGCGGTGCTGGGAAAGGAAGGGAGCTGGTTAAGCCAAAGCAGCAGGCACCAAATATGGTCAAGGAGAGGTAAGAACAGAGCTTCGACCACAACAGGAGCCAGCATGGACAAAGGAAGTGGGGCAGGGCCTGCTGCCATCTTCACTCCAACCCTAGGCCAGGCTCCCTCCTGCCAACTGCCAGCTTGGAGCAGAGCAGCATGCTGTGTCAGTCTGGGTGAAAGATGAGTGACAATATCAGGCAAGTGCTCAGAGCTGCTGCCAGTGGAAAACACTGGCCATACCTTGCAGACAGCATGTAACAGGGGCCTTGGAAAACCTGGCCTGGTCTCTAGATGTGAAGCCACAATTTGCCCCACCATGTCCTCCCTCCCCACAGTCAGCTCAGTGGAGGCCTGGGACACAGGAGATACCACTGCTCAGAGCTCAGCACAGGACACACCTTTGCCCCTTGGGCACTACATGAAAAGCAGGCTGCAGGGTCCATAACAGATAGGCTTTTTGGAGGAAAGGATCTGTCACCACTTCTCAGTAGACTGGTGTTCCTGGTGGAAATAAGGCCTCTATGGCCCCAAGAATGGCTGCTTCTACCTGCTTCGTAACTAACCATAAGGGCACCAGGAAAGATTGTACTGGGTGTGCCTGTTCAGGCTGGAAGCTTTGGGATGGGAGCCAAAGTCCAACCCATGCCCCGTGTGCCCAGTGTCTGTACCCACAGGGTCTGCACCCACAGGGTCTGCACCCACACACAGTGGCACCTTTCTGATTTGCTCCAAGGCATCTTCTGGGCTACCAGGGATGGTCCTGCCAAACATTGGCTCTGCCTGTAGCCACCAACTTTTAGCTGAGCTGGATCATATTTTCAAAAGTCTTCTATCTCTTGGCTGGAATGTTGGGGTGAATTTCCCCTAATACAGGAAGAAATCCAAAACAGGCAGATCATGCAGGAAAAGCTAACCCATGACTCCCCATGTAGGGAAGAAGAGGCTCAGGGCTTGGGTGCTGGAGCCAACCTTTGAATCCAGGTGGGCTGTGCAACCTGGGGTAAGCTACATGATGTCTCTGGGCCTCCATTTTCTCATATGAATACTGGAGGACAATACAACACCTACCTTTGCAGGTGTTTTCTAAACATTGTTCTACAATGCTTGGCTTACAGCAATATATGTATACTGGCTCTTACTAGCTTTTATTTTTCAAGGGCTTATGCAAGTGATAAAAATGACTATTTTCCAAATCCAAATGGAACACTGCAGTATTTAAAATGAACAGTTAAATGCATGTTTGTTACATGGTGCCAACCAGACAAATAGGTGGTAATATGCAAAGAACACAGGAACTAATTTTTTTGATGGTGAAAGTTATAAAGATCACAAAAGAAACTGACACAGGATGAGGTGGTAATATGCAAAGGACACAGGAACTCTTAGGTGGTAATATGCAAAGGACACAGGAACTAATTTTTTTTGATGGTGAAAGTTATAAAGATCACAAAAGAAACTGACACAGGATGAGGAACCTCTGTCTGCACTTTCTTTGACCTTTAGGACATCTTGATCTTTAGGACACAGATCTGGGGACCCCCTTCCTGGTGATGATCCAACAACACCCACCTACTGAGTCACTTTTACTAGCTCCCACCAAGTGCTGAGAGTCAAATATATATATGTAAAACATTTTATTTATTTATTTTTAGAGAGAGGGAGAGAAACATCAGTGTGTGGTTGCCTCTCCTATGTCCCCCGACCGGGGACCTTGCCCACAACCCAGGCATGTGCCCTGACCAGGAATCAAACCTGCAACCTTTTGTTCACAGTCTGACTCTCAATCCACCGAGCCACACCAGCCAGGTCCCATTTTATATCTTTAAAGACTGACACATACCTGAATGGGATCATCCACAGTAGTGGGAGATCCCTGGGACCCCTTCTATGCCAACATGATCATCCAGAGTCTAAAGAAAAGCTAAAATACATAGACTAATTTAAAAAATCTCACTTCAAAAAGAAACAAAAGCTCAAGTTATGGTGCAGGTGGCAACACCAAGGCCCAAGTTCAGAAGCATTTACCACAATGTTGCAGGACAGGACCTCTGTGTTCAAAACTGACCGGACCGGCCCAGCTTCCCAGTGTTGGGAACGCAGATCATGCACCTGTGCTGACTGCTTGTTTCCAGTACCTTCTGGATCCTTGACCCAGCTCACACTGCAAGGTGGAGAAGGTCCAAGGAGCTGCCTGTGAAGACAGAGGCCTGTAGTACCAAAGGCAGGTCAAGGATGGAGCTGATAGTGGTGACTGGCTGGCTCTGTGTTCTCAGGAACTAACTCTTGAGCCCCAAGGACAGGCCTTGAGTGCTGTCTTCTCAATTTGGGCTGCAACTGGGTATCAGTTACACTCTTATTGACTCAATATCTTTCTTCACATTGACTCACTCTTGTTTTTACTTAAATACCTACTTGAGCTTTGTCTTAAGCAACAATGTCCACAAAATCACAGGTTCAAGGTTACTAATTATGTATGTTTTTTTAACACAACACAAATAGTTGCTAGTGACATGAAAGACCTTTATCAGCACACCATCAAAAAACCATCTCCACATGCTACACTGTACCAGGAGGCAGATTGAGCCAAGATCCTCCCTTGCCTCATAAACTCACCAGATTAGGTAAAATATCTTGCCACTTGCAACTCAAGGACAACCTGCCCCTTGGCCACCAGCTGCTGTGCAAGGCAATGTTCTCACAAAACCTGTTCCGTGGGTTTTTCTACTACTGGTCTAAGATGACATCGGTCTCCATCCTAGTCTGACACATGTCCTGCCACCCCAGCCCAAAGACCCTAAACTCCTAAACAGCAGCTGTGGCCAGAGCTGCCAGAAAAACCCTTTCTTTTTTGAATGGCATTTTAAAGGAGAAATAAGCAACTATCTGGCCTCTGGCCAACATGCTAAGCCTTGTCAGTAGGCCAGAGTGCTCCTGGTTTGTCACTTCCCTGTTCACCTGGTGGCCAAGTGCCATAGGTAGGTTTGAAAGGTGAGCACATCTTGTGCCAATGAAACCCTCACTGCCTGTCTCTCTGCATGGACACAGATGGTCATGGCAAGAAAATCTAAGTGTACAACCGAGCAGAAGGATGCGGCCGGTACAGGTGCAAGATGAAATATTTGGGAGCCCTGAAGAATAGTTAATTATTTTTGTTTAAAAAAACTATAAATTTATAGGTATTTATGTACATAAGAAAAAATATGTATGGAATTAACCAACATGTTTATGCTGATTATCTTCATGTAGAAGGATCTGTGGTTATTTTAATATTTTTAATTTATCTGTGGTGTGTATCTTTTACTTCACTGGGAATGAACAGCTATTGCTTATATGATTACAAATAATTAACAGAAAAAATCAAATCAACAAGGAAAAATGTTTATGATAGAATATTACTTGATGAAAATGAGATTAAGCTTCATGGAAAAATAAACTGTCAGGGAAATGGTTGTTAGGCAGTGAGAATTATAGAAGAATTTTTTTAAATGTAGGCTTCTTTAGAATTGTATACCTGAAACCTGTATAATTTTATTAACCAATGTCACCCCAATAAATTCAATTAAATAAATAAATAAATGTAAGCTTCTTAGAATTTAGATGTGACTTTAGAAAAAGGGGCACTGGAAATGCTAGATTGGTTGGGATTAAGTGTCTACTATTTGGCAGAACTAGCTTGAAAGAGAAGTTCAGATTATTTACCTCTTTATTAATTTTTTCAGAGAGAGGGAAGGGAAGGAGAAACAAAGCGAGAGAAACATAGATTAGTTGCCTCTCGTGTACACTCTGACCCAACCAGAAACTGAACCCATAACCCAGGCATGTGCACTGACAGGGAATCGAACCGGCAACCTCTCCCTTTGCGGAACGACACCCAAACAGCTGAGCCATACTGGTCAGGGCGAGAAGTTCAGATTAGATATATTCTTCAGCCTGTGCTCTAATATTTGCAACCGTTTTTTTCCAAAAATTTCTGTTACCTTTTTAAACAAATAAATGTTTAAAAAGCCCCCAAGAGAATGATGTTAACTGAGAAAATTTGCCTGGGGTCTCAGTAGTGCAACAATTCTTTCCAGAATTGAGGCAGGAGTACCTTTCCTTTTCTCTTGAGGACAGGGTGAGCCAAAGATGGATTTCAGAGTTGGTGGCAGCTTCAGAACTTGTATTTCCTGGAGGGCTCCTGCCTTCCAAGCCCTTGTTGACAGGGCCTTGAAGCTGTGTTTATTTCCTCATTGCCAGGGACTTGGCTGCACCGGGCTTTATCCTGTACAATCAAATTTACATGGGAAAACACCTCACCCACCAGGCCTGATGCCAGCAGTCATGTCATCGCTTCCTAATGGGCAGGCAACTTGGGATGCCGATGGTGAGCACACCATCGTCCCCTCCCCAGCCATGCAAGTGGCCACTTGCCCAGGGTGGGTGGTGTGTGTTGACAGCCAGCAGGGAAGAATGCAGCCAGTTTCATTTGCTCCCTCCCTCCCTCCCTCCCTGCCAAGACTGGAGGCAACTTGGAGTGGAGAGTATCTGTGAGCCTTGGAAGATGCAGCGGTGTGTGGAGAGTAGGGGTGGAGGAGGGAGGTGGTTACTCACCTGGGAATAAAAAGAAGTGTCCCTTTCTACAGTCAGAAAAATAAGGCCAACCTGGTAAAATTTTGAGGCCCATGAGTAGGTCCAGCTCTCTGTTTTCCACTGGTATGCATGAATTATTCTATAATTATTCAAAATGTGAGCTTGGGAGTCAGACAGAGTTGGGCGGAGTCATGGACCCATCACAGCACCTCTCTGAGCCTCTGGTGTCTCATCTGTAAGCAGGCCAGCAACAACACCTCCCTCCCTGGGCCTTTATTTTCAGGGAGGATTAAAATGAGATAATGCATGTAAATCTCTTAGCATAGCACTGAGTAAATGTTGGCTATTATTATCCTTGTTGGGGAAAGAAGGATGGAAATGTGTAGGTGGTTGGGAAGTTTTCTCACTTACCTGCAATTTAGAAAACACGAGTGCGGGAAGGGGAATTTCCCAGCTCAGTAAACGAACGCTTCAGGTTTTGTGCTGCACTTCCCAGAGGCTCAGCTGTCACCACAGCACACTTCAGTCAGAAACTTTCAATGGTTCCTCGTGTCTGCAGAACAAAGGCCAAAGCTTCAGCTGGTGTTCAAGACACCTTTTAGTGTGGCCCCAACTTACATGTCTCCTTTTATTTCCCTCATTCTCCTTTAAAATAGGGTAATGTTTAAGAACCTGGGTTCTAATCCTAGCTGTCACTTATTTGCTGTGTGACCTTGTAGAATAGACTTACCCTTTCTGTGTCCTGGTTGTCCCATCTGTAAAATGAGGGAAAATAGTACCTACTTCATTTCCCGGTCCCCACTGAACCAAAGTCATCTTCTCTTCCTCCTCCTGCCCCTGGGAGACATGATATTTTCTGTGGACCAGCTCCTATTTTATTTGCTCCCATATGCCTTGCATCATGGTTATTTATATCCCTCTCTAATCTGCCCTACTGGGTGAGGAGATCCCAGGACAGATTTCCTGATGCTTGAGCTTGAAACTTGCACACAGTAGGTATTCCATAAGTATGTATGACCTTCAAAGCTGGAGGAAGGTTTGAAAGTCAACTGGTGTTCATTGGTTTGGTTTTGAGACTGAAAACCTTTCCATTTGGAAGGTGCCTTTTATTTAAATATCCAAATATAGCTGCTTCTTGTGTGTGTGTGTGTGGGGGGGTGCTGTGGGGTGAGAAAAGCACCTGGTTTCTTTCTGTCCACCTGCCACTTAGAGCTGAATGGTGTCCCCACTCTCAAGTTTATATGTTGAAGCCCTAAACACCAGGACCTCAGAAGGTGACTGCACTTGAAGACAGGGTTACTAAGGAGATGATGAAGTTAAGTGGGGCCAATAGCGTGCACCTCAATCCAATCGAACTGGCCTCCTTATAAGGAGAGGATGTTTGGACACCCAGAGACAACAGGGATGTGCCCTCTCGGAGGCGAGACCATATGAGAGCACAGCAGGAAGGAGGCCAACTGTGAGCCAGGAGAGGTCTCAGTAGACACCTTGACCTTGGATTTCAGCCTCCAGAACTGTGAGAAAACAAGCTTTTGTTGTTTAAGCTGCTCAGTCTGTGGTATTTTGTTATAGCAACCTGCGTTGACAGACTAATAAAAGCTGTCAAAAGAGAAGAAGTCAATAGATATTAGGGTGAGATGGGGGTGAGGAGAGAGGAGGCTGAAGGACTCCCTCCTGGGAAGACCAGGCCAGTAAGCCTGTCATCCCCGACCCCTCAATCAACAGATTCCATACACTTCTATGGAAACACACCCATATTTCATATTTAAACACCCACCTTGAAAATCCTTCCCCATTACCAGATTAAAGGCAATAAGACATGGCACCTTAAACCTCTTCTTATTATTTGTCATTGGCAGAGTGTCCAAAATTTTTGTCCAGAAGACCTTGCATTTTCCTGTGACAAGTCGCACAGAAACTTTCTACCACACTTAGAATAAAACCCAAACCCTTTACCATTGTCTCCAGGGCCGGTGAGGCCTGGCTGCTGTCCCCCTCCATATGCCCCTCCTATCCTGGTCCTTCCTCATTCTGCTCCTCCAATATGCCAAGGTCATTTCACCACTGGTCCTCAGCAGCTGCCACAGCTCTCATGGCTGTGCCTCAAGTGAACTCTTTTTTAAAAAAAGATTTTATTTATTTATTTTTAGAGAGAGGGGAAGGGGGGGAGAAAGAGAGGGAGAGAAATTTCAGGGTGTGGTTGCCTCTTGTGTGCCCCCTACTGGGGACCTGGCCTGCAACCCCTGCATGAGCCCTGACTGGGAATCAAACCAGCAACCATTTGGTTTGCAGGCTGGCACTTAATCCATTGAGCCACACCAGCCAGGGCTCAAGCGAGCTCTTAACACACACATAGACACACACACACACACACACACACACACACGTTGAGCCTCATGCTCAGCTATTCTGACTCTGCAGGTTGATGTGGGGCCTGGTGTCTATATACATATTTTTAAACTTCCACACAGAATCTGATGCATGGGCAGAACTGAGGACCATCACCCTAGATCTTCATGGAGCTGGCTACTTCTTTGAAGTCTTAGCTCAAATGCTACTCACCCTGGCCCCCAACCCCTGGAGCACCCTAGCCCGTGGCCCTATTCATAATCTGTAGCACTAATATACCATCAGAGACCATCTGATCTATTCACGTGTTTCCCATCTGTCTCCCTGCACTAGACTTCTAAATCTCCTGTGAGTGTGTGCTGGCCTCGCATCCCCATGTTTGCCCCAGCAGAACTTCTCTGCCTAACACAGAAGCTGCTACTCACATGTGGTGACTACTTAGTGATAGACTTGCCACTTGGTGGGCTGAGATGTACCCTCAGTGTAAAACACTGTCCAGACCTCAAAGACATTGTATGAAAGAGAGACGTAGAAGATATTGAGAAAAGTTCTGGAGATGGACGGTGGAGATGGTTGCATGACAATGTGAATGTGTTTAACATCACTGACCTGTACACTTAAAATGGTTAAAATGTTAAATTTTGTTTTTTTAAATTGTTTACCACAAGTAAAATTTTAAAAAGATGTGTTGACCATAAAAATCTCATTAATAACTTTTGTTATTGATGACATGTTCAAGTGATGATATTTTGAATTAGGGGTTCCATGAAATATATTATTAAAATTAATTTCACCTGTTTCTTTTTTTTCTCGTCACTTAAAAATGTGGCTTTCAGAAAACTTGAAATTGCTTATGTGGGTCATACTTGGGCTTGTGTTATATTTATACTGAATGTCACTAGCCTAGAACCATGGTCAGCACACAGTAAGCACTTAAACAGGAGTTGACTATAAGCTGTTCTGTCTACCAGGCTGCAGAGAATGGGAGGAGGCTGGGGTAGAGCAGTTCACGTAACTAAACAATCATAACTAATATCTATTATTACATTGATAGCAGCAGCCACCATTTGTTGAGCACCTAATGTGTGCCGGATGCTGCCTCAGCACTTTACCCACACACCATCTCATTTAATCCTCCAGTCAGTCCTGCAAGGTGTCACTATCACCACTCCACAGAGCAGCTGCTGCCCAAGGTCGCCCCGCTGGCGGGTGGAGGGCTGGGGCTTGAATAAGGGCTGCCGAAGCCTCCCAACCTCTGGGGCCAGGCCCCACATGCCATCCTGTCACATGGCTCTGCCAGGGAGCCAAACTGGGCCCCTGTGAGACAGCCAGTCTGCCTGGAAGGGTCCAGGAAGAGAATTAAATAATACATAATCTCTGATCAACACTAGTTCAGCCATCCAGATTGAGCCACCAGCCCTCTCAGGTTCAAGGACTCTGGGAAACCGGTCCTGGCCAGGGTGGTCATTCTTGTTCAAGGCAGTTGCAGTGGATGGCATTGGGCCCAGCCTGACCCTCAAGAGGGCCCTGCCAGTGCTCCTGAAGCTGCAGCAGCCATAGATATCTTTGGGGTGTGGCCTCTTCCCACCTGCTCTGTGGCTGGAGGCCTGGGCCCACCTAAGACCCCATATCTGGGGTTCAAATCTGTTTGAGCAGTGCCACCTGTAGTATCTAATGTGAGACCTCCATCAGGGAGAAAATCCTGCCATCTCCGGGCTCCAGTTGTCTTTATTTTTTTATTGTTATTTTTTCCCATTTTTTAAATTTGGTTATTTTTCGGGTACAGTTTTTTGTCTATTTCTCCCATCCCAGCCCCCCCCAACCCGTGCTCCCCACCTCCCTCCCATTTCCACCCCCCCTTGCTTCTCGTCCCTGTGTCCTTCATATTTGTTCCTCCAAATCTCTCCCCTTTTTCCCCCTTAAATTCCCTTCCCTCTCCCCTCTGGTCATTGTCCCCTTGTTCTCAATTTCAGTGTCTTTGTTTTTATTCTGCTTGCTTGTTTGTTTTGTAGTTTAGCTTCCTGTTAAAGGTGAGATCATATGGTATTTGTCTTTCACCACCTGGCCTATTTCACTCGGCATAATGCTTTACAGCTCCATCTGTGTTGTTGCAAAGGGTAGTAGCTCCTTCTTTCTTTCTGCTGCATAGAATTCCATTGTGTATATGTACCACAATTTTTTGATCCATTCATTTACTGACGGGCACCTAGGTTGCTTCCAACTCTTGGCTATTGTAAATTGTGCTGCTATGAACATTGTGGTGCATAGGTTCTTTGAAATTGATGTTTTAGGATTCTTAGGATAATCTTAGCAGTGGAATTGCTGGGTCAAAAGGCAGGTCGATTTTTATTTTTCTGAGAAAATTCCATACTGTTTTCCATAATGGTTGTACCAGTCTGCAATCCCACCAACAGTGAACTAAGGACCCCTTTTCCCCACACCCTCTCCAACATTTGTTGTTTGTTGCTTTGTTTATGATAGCCATCCTGACTGGTGTAAAGTGATATCTCATCGTGGTTTTAATTTGCGTCTCTCTGATTCCAGTTGTCTTTAAATTGTGGGTTTGAACTTGAAAGGACCTGCTTGGGTCAGGTCATAGAGACAGTTGACTAAAGAAGCCAAGAAAGACCTGACTCCCTTGGCAACAGCTGGGCTTCTGACATTGTTGGATGGAGTAAAGACCCTGCTGTCTGGGAGACCTCTGAGCCCCCTACCCTAGGTGTGAGCCAGTGGGTCAAGCACACAGCCTAGAGCAGTGGTTCTCAAAATCTGGCTCCTAGCAAGCTGCAGCAGCATTGCCTGGACACTTGTTACAAAGGCTAATCCTCAGGTCTCAAGCCAGGCCTCCTGAATCAGAAACCAAGTTTGAACAGCCCCCTGGAAGACTCTGGGCCATACCAAAGTTTGAGAACCATAGTCTACAGCCTAACTACTTAAAGTACCAAGCCCTCCAGATCAGCATCATTTAGTAGCTTGTTAGAGATACAACATGCGGGCCCACATGAACTGCTGAATTGGAATCTAAGCCCCCAGGAATACATGTGCATGTTAAAATTTGAAGTGTGCTGGGCTAGACTTCCTTACTGTTAAGTCAGGGTACTTGAACTCAAATGCTTTCAGGTACCAAGTGGGTAATGTTAAACAATGAGGCTGAGTCAGATCCAGAGGATTATTGCCACTTGGAACTGGGGGCTTCAAGAGTAT